TCAACTAAGTCTCCTATTTTATATGCTGTAATTTAGAGCTATGTTTCAGCTATGTAATTAGTCAACTTTAGGATTGTATATATACATGGGTTCTCACCCAAGTAATGCAATCGAATCATTATAATCAGAAAATCTTGTCTCTCTTAACATGGTATCAGAGCTTTTCTCTGATTAGCTCTTCTCGTTCGTTTTCTTGTATTATTGCCGCTATTCCCTATCCTGTATCTCGATGTCCCTTACAGATTTGAAACTCTTGCTTTACATCTGATCTATTCACTATCCCTTTTTCAATTATCTAATGGCCTTGGAATCTGCCCAACCTATCACTATTAGACTAGATGGACACAACTACAGCCACTGGTCCTTTCTCATGAGAAGTTTTATCAAGGGAAGGGGTCTTTGGAAGTACATTAGTGGTGATTCAACGTGTCCTAGCAAAGATGATTCAGGATATGCCGACTGGGAGATCAACAACAACAAAATTCTCACATGGATTGTGAAACCCCATATTTTTAATATTTCATAAATTAAATAATTACAATTATTAATCTCCAAAAACTATATAATTAATAATATATATATATATATATATATATTAATTGTATAGTAAGTTACGCACACTACAAGAAAAAAGGTCAGTAGTGACCAATTTCCTTGTGACCACATGAATAATGGTCACAAATATAGTGAATTTAATGACTAATAATAATACATGGTCACTAAAATAATTTATCCCTATTTTTTAATTTTTAATGACCAAATTTTCTGACCATTATTTAAATTAGTCACTAAAAACAACTTAAGTTATATAGTTAGTGACGAACACATATGCCAAGATAGACGTACTTCTCTCATTTAATACATCAGCGACCAATTAACTTTTTTTAAAACTTTTTTATTTTTATTTTTTCAAAACGCGCTCGCGTGGGGTGTACCGCATCAAAAGGAAAACAAAAAAGATGAAACAAGTCGAGCGAAATCCGAACGAGACCAGCGCGAGCTCAGAGTGAGAGAGACAAGAGCGAGAGACCAGCGCAAGCGAGACCATCTTCTTCATCGAGCGAGCGTCCTCTTTGTGGTCCTTTTCGTCTCTGTGGTTTCGATTTCTAGGTTTTCTCCCAATATCATGTGAGCTTTCTATTTCTCTTTGGTTTCAATGTAAGTTTTGATTTCATTTGAGTTTGATTTGAGTGCGATTGTGACTCTGATTCTGATTCTCTATTCTCTATTCCCTAATTCCCTAATTCTCTATTCACTGTGATTTTGAGTTCCACTGTGATATCAATTTTCCTAACTATGATTTTGATTTCTCTTTGAATTTCGATTCTGAGGTGTGTTTCCAAAAAGCTTGATGCCCTAACTTCCTAATCTGTGTTGCAGAAGTTTTGATTTTGAGAAACGACCTTGAGGCTAGTGAGATCTTTTCTGAAATCAACTTTTGAGACTATCAGCTTCTCTGGTAAGAAATCTTCGATCTCTAGCTATTTGATTCCTAATTGGTTTTCATCTTCGTTCTTGCTTTTTCTTTACTCTTATTCCTATTGCTTTTTCTTTATCTTCATAAGTGAGTACAAACTCAGAGGATCCATCCAGAAGCTTAGAGGGTTTTGTTGTTTGTTCCTTGTCTCCACCTGATATGAGCAGAAAGCCATAGTCATACAATGGTAGTAACATCACATACACAGTGCATCAAAAATGACCAATTGATGATCATAAAATGAACCAAAACAAAGAGCCTCCATTCTTTTGAGTTAAAGTCCTCGTTTCGATTGTGCCTATAGGAATTAATAAAGCTTAGAAATTTGTGTTGTATGAAATTTTGTGAAGGATGGTTTTCTCTGTGTGAGCTATTTTAAGAAAATTCTGTTCAGTTACTATTGTAGCTGCAGAAGTAATCTTACTCGAGGAAGGAAACTAAAATGAAAATCTGCATTTTTGCAGGTGGATAGAAGTGATGGCTCCTGTTTTCTCGAGAGTTGCCTGGCGCTGTGTATGGCATCTGATCCAGGTTTGTTATTTCTACTGTCCTGAAACTTCAAGATAGCTTTTCTATTGGCCTTAGAACATAAAGCACAACAAATTAGCCGAACTAATATGAGTCTCATATTTTAGTCAGGTGTATGGTGTTAAGTTGTCAATGTAATTGATCAGAAAAATTTTAAGTTGTTAGAAGATATACCTAATACTCTGTAAATCAAGCTTGATTCATCACACATTCACTCTCCCTTTCATGTATAGGATCACAGAAACAACAAATCTAAATTACATTGAAATGGTGTTAATTGTGATTTGATCTTTGCAGAATGACTTGATTCATGCATGGGGTGGATATGCAGCTTGGCTATTGTGCACAGGCAAGCTTCTCAGTTTACTTGTTATGTCATTTTTTTTATGCTTTCTTTTCTAAGGATTTCCTTAACGCTTCCTAAAGAGGACTTTCTGGTTTTGATATTTAAATAGGGCGATCGAACTAAAAATGTTGGTGTTGTGGATGTTGAGTACATAATCCATTATGGTCGCCCTACATTGGGAGGCTCAGATGAAAATGAGGTGAGAAAATGTTTGCTGTCTTTGTGGTGCAAATTTCCAGTCTGTTTGAGGCTGACTAGTTAATGTGTTATTAGTATTTTGCAGGACCAGAGTTGATGTAAGTCTTGACATGTAATTTGTTCAGTTTATTAGGATTTTACTTGGATTAAAATTGTTTGTTGTGTATTTGTGTGTAGGTGAGGAGAGAATCGTACAACGAAATGAAGGTGTTCAAAAGGAAATGGGAACGAGCTGTCAAGGAAAAAAAAGGGTAATGCACATTATTGCCTTACCAATTTTGTTTGCATCAGAAATTTCTAGCATATGGATCTGAGCAGGAAGCACTTGAGCATCGACCTCAAACAGTGGGAGATGATGATTGGAACTCTCTACTTCAATTATGGCAAAAAGATGAGTGGAAGGTGAGACACTATCTAGTTCCTCTTCTTAGCATTATGCTCATGCCTTCATTCATTTAGTGATTCCATTTTGAGAAAAGTCTTGGTAATTGATATTTTTCTGTCTCAGTGCTCTCTTCCCTGGTTAGACAGTTTTGTCCAAGGCATTATATAAACCTGACTGAGCATATTCAGATAAACTTTAAGCAACTAATTTATAAAAGATGCGCTAGCTGGCTCTTGAGTTTAATTATTCTTGCATTGAGTTAATTCCCCGGTTTAGTGCATCCCAAGTAAGAACTGACATTATTCTTTTTTTGATGCAGGTCTGATGGATAAAGGGCAGAAGACAATCTACTAGTGATGAATCTTATGTTATTTGTTTTTGGGAATCACTTGACATTTAGGTTGAATAACTTAAATATGTAGCATTTTGTTTTTGAGACATCTTGTGAATTTGTTGGAAGAATGTTAGATATATGTATTGCTTTTGAATGCAATGAATTATTTGATGCTATAAATTTTATCTACAGCACTGTTTAAAAGAAATTAATTGCGATTTCATATTGTAATACAATAAATAAAGAACGTGGAGAGGTAAACCTAATTAGTTACCAATTTTTTGAAATACATTAGTGACCAAGCAAGTAGGTCACTAATGTGGGCACGTGACCCAGTTTCAATGACCAAAAGGCATGTTTTGGTGACCAAATTGTAAGCCCTTTAGTGACCAAAGTTGTGGTCCCTAATAGCGTTTTTATTAGTGACCAAACAGGGATAGCCACTGATTCTTTGTGTTGTAGTGACTAATAGTTGACATTGGCCACTAAGTAGAATTTGTGACGAGCTTCTAGTGACCACCCGGTGACCACCAATATTTGGACACTGATTGCATTCAGTGACCAAAAAGGGTAGTTTCTGTGACCAAGTGGGTGACCACTAATACCTGTTTTTCTTGTAGTGGTAAAGATAGCTATTAACTAATAGCATATCAAATGTTATTGCATGGTTTTATTCATTTCAGCACTATTTATCATTATTATTATTATTATTATATATATATACTTACTTTACAAAAACTATTAGAAAAACATATATGCTTACTAAGCATTGTTGAAAACTAATGTGTTGCATGGTGGTGTCCTTAAAATCCATTAAAGCTTGAGATGTAATAATGATAGTTATTCCTATATATAAAAACTTGTTAGGAGAGTGCTCACAAAGCACTCTACCAAGCCAACGCAAAAGGCTTTGGGAGTCTAGGAACTTGTAGAATGATTAAGTGGCACAATATTAAGTTTCTTCTAACCAACTCTAGCATACTATAAATAGGTCTACTCAATAGTTCATTGATCATAGGTACTTCAAGTGTGTTAGTCTCCTAAAAATCCTAGACGGAAGAAAGAAAGAGTGAAGTAAGGTGAGATTTTGAAGAAGTTCAAAGTATTTGAGCTTACAACTGGTTATACAATAGCTTTGGATTTGAGGTAGGGGTTCTTTCTTGGGGAGGTTTTGCATAAATTGATTTAATTAAATATTGTGAACA